ACTCAATCCCACTCAGCATGGAGGATACCAGGTTACACAATTTTTTTGAAAGACTTTCTACCATTCATCAGACACTATGTTGTTGAACTACTTTTTGCTTTTTGCTACGGAAGCCGAGAGCGGTCATGGCCGCACATTTTTTTAAACGGCATTTTCTTGAGATAACGGCATTCGTTTTCTCGAGATAACGAGATAATTATCCCGTTGACAGTTTCGGCTGTCACTTCAGCCTTCATCAGAAGTTGTCGGACTTCCTGGTGTGACGTATCTTATATAGACAGCTGACCGGGAACTCTGACATGACGTGTCATGAGAACAGCTGACCGGGCACGACAACTTACAATGAAGCGGTCGTGCCCGGTCTCGTCTGTCCTCCGGCCCCCTGCTGGTGACTGAGGATGGAATCCCAGGTGTGTGGGAGGTCCCACACACCTGGGATTCCATCCTGTACTGGGCACGAGCGGGCAAACACAAACACCAATTATCTCGTAATCTCGAGAAAACGAAGTTGGTTTTCTCGAGATAAATTATCTCGTTTTCACGAGAAAACAATTCTTGTTATCCCGAGATAACGAGAAAATTAACTCGTTATCTCGAGAAAACGGCGAAGAAAGAACAGTAGCGGAAAACAACCGCTCTCGGCTTCCGCATTTTGCTACTTCTTTTCCACTATTTGTCAGGCTTTGTTTTGAGCAAAAGATTTTAAAACATTGATGTTGATGTCTGAGCTATCAAAGACACATTGTTTTCTATTGATAACAACTGTGTTAAGTCTATTTTTCAGACTTAAATTATATAAGATTGGCATCATTTTAAGAGTACAGCCACGACAGCTCTGATTAGTGGTGCTATTGCTTGTTCTATACCTACTGCTGAAACTCTTCCTGTATCCTTTTCAATCTTTGTGAAGTGTCTACTGTGTTTGGGCACTGGAAAACATGCACAAATTGAAGCTCCTCCAAAGTCCGAGAATAGCTATTTTAATTACAACCCTTTTAATGATAAATCATAAATGTGTGGATAAAAGAGAATGTCCTACATCTATACTCATAACAAGCATTTCTTTTTGATCACCATTTGTTTACTGGTTAGACATACAGCTGGTGCACTGACAGTGCAGACAGTCTACAACATCTGCAGATGTGTTCATGGAGACTGTTGCAGACTTGGTTGGATGACAAAATTTACATCAGGTGCCCTTGTAGGCAAGGCTGAAAACCCCCCCCAAAAAAACCTGAGTTGGCCTTGACACTTTCCAGATCTGC